GTAATTCTGTAAAAGCTTCTTGTACTAAAAAGATGGATTCTATTCCATATACACAAAAGCCATAGATTTTTTAACTGAGCAATTTTTAAATAGATATATGTAAATACATGAAAATATATCTAGAAACGAGTTTAGAGCAGGGGAAATGGCTATCTTTCCTTTAGCTATATATTTTTGAAGCCTATTCTAATAAATCCCCCGCTTTGCTGACTGAAGTCACCCTCCTCCTAAAATACTGGTTATCTAAATTACTCTGGAGAATATTTTCTTCCAGTGAAACCCAGCTCTCATTAAAAATAAAAAATCTATTAAGTATCTAGGAAATTAGACCTGTAACAAAATAAAAACTTAACACACAAGAAGAAACTGTAATAAGAGTGCTACATAATGCTATGCTGAGCATCTTGAACTTATCAACTCCTTAACATTAACTGCAAGAAAAAAAAAGAAATAGAAAAGTTAATCAGTAAGGCCACAGAATGTGAAAAAACATTATCTGAATACTATTATGTAAAGAAAATAATCCTAAGTTTCATTCTTCCTCTTTTATGAGCTAAACCAACTCCACTTCCTATGATTTGGAAATGGATTTACACACTCCGTGGAATTCCACTTTTATATACTATTAAAAATATAGCTATTATGACACCTCAGAATAGCACTTTAAAAAAGTCAAAATGAAAACTACATTTGGAGTAGGCTTTAAAAAAAAAAAATTTACTCACTTTATATGTGGCTGTAACCCTGGCTGTTCTTCATAATTTTCTATAAGAAAAGGAAGATTTTTGGCCCAGTGGTCCTTGAAATTTCCAGGAAGATCTGTATCAACATTATACTCCGTAAGAGGGGTATCCAAGTGTGCATGCAAGTATCTGGAATACTCTGGAGGAAAGAAATAAAGTTAAATACCATTCGCGTAATCAGCCTACTTATGTAATTACAAAAAAACACCCCACAGATTATAGGTTTGTCAGTTATCCAACACGACTTTAGCAAGTCTCTTAGATAACTCAACGTTGCTATTAGCTGATTTCCAAGACAGAAATAAGTCTATTTCAACTACTTATCACAACTCTTTACCATTATACAGAAATGTATATTTCATTTGCGGTCCTAGTTTTTAACTGTATGAACAAATGAGAATCAGTGCACATTTTTTTAGACAGACATACTCAACAGTGCTCATGAGAATGCATGATGGTTTCTTTAAAATGGCCATAACCACAAGCATGCCTGCACTTTTAGGGTTCTCAAGGGATTTAAGAAAACTAACAAAAAAAAACCCAATTCCAACTTACCTCGGAGGTATTTCACTTTCAGATATTCTGGGCTGGCTTTCTGACCTGGTAGTGGATCATTTAACATAACTTTAGTCTGAGCTTTTATTCCTTCATAAAACTGTCCCATTGCAACATGGCTGAGACCTTTCATGTACTGGCATACTTCATTGTATGGTTCTAGCTGTAGACATCTCTAGGAGATTAAAGGAACAAAGCACCCATAAATCAAGTGAGAGAATGAGTACCTTCAAATAAACTAACCTGTTTGGTCAGAAGACCTGCATGAAAAGATTTACCGATTATTAAGACTCACTTGCATCACAATTTTCTTTCAAACGATGCTGAGCACTTAAATTGCCAGCAAATGTAAGAAAAAAAAATATTTCAGCTTCATTAAAGAAAAAAGGAGCTGCCAGTGCAAATATGCTTTTGATCACACTTTCATTGTTACGAAAATAGATCACGTCTGCTCTAATGATACTAGCACTACAGAAGTTTCAACATCAGCTGGATAAAATTGGACAAAACATACTCCTGACAATATTAGTAACAAGTCATTTTTGGTGAGTTCAACATATATATCATGCCATTTCTTCCATCCATATCTTCGCTAGTTCATGCGTTAGTACACTTCTTTATGTTAGTCAATTACTTACTACATGTTAAACACATAGCAAATTCATATTTATCATTCAAAATTAATGCTCTGATTCTTCTAGCAATTACATGTCATTAGAAGAGCACCTCCATCTTTAAAGTTGAAGTATCTTTTCAATTACACCAGTATCTACAAGTTGTGTTATAGACGGTGACTACATAATAATGCACATAAAGTATTCTTGGGATAAGTACACACTCATTCAGAAAGGGATGTAATCATTTCCACATCTTGTTTCATTCCTTGTTTTAAGGATATGGACATATGACAGATGCAAGATTTTGTTTACCTATGGAAACACACACATTTTTACAAGCCCAATGAATCACATATACTGTGTTTTTCAAAACAAAGAAAATACCTCAGAAAAATTAGATAAATATTGGAACTTTCTTAAAATTACAACAAAGACTACATTCCTTCTTCTGTCAAATATGAAAAAAAATATTGGTGTTTCAACCCAAGCTAAAATATAAGCAAGAACACAATTACCAGTTTAAAAATAAACAGATAAAACATTTCAAGCAGAGCTTGGTTTTAGAAATTCATAAAACAGAGGAAGTATCTTTGTTTTAGCAAAATGCCATCTTTAATTAAAAACTGTAAGTATTTATACATCTTTAAGACAGACTTCACAAAAAATAGTCTTAGTTCAAATGCACATACACATTCAGAATTAAAACCTTTGACATTTGTCCATTTTAATGCACTTGTTGAATACTAGTCCTTGTTAAAACATTTTAATTTTGTATTTACTTAGGGCCTGCTTACCTTAAAATTCTTTAGTGCTTCATCTAAGCTACCATGATGATAAAGCATCATTCCTTTGAGCTGTAACGTCTGAACATGATTCTGATTTAGGAGTAAAGCCTTCTGGAAGCTCTCTGTAGCAGCATCAAAGTTGCCAAGTTCTCTATGCGATTCCATAAAGTGGAAAGCGAAGAATATAGAAGGCAATAGTGACAATGAAATTACTTGTTAAAAGTTGTTTTAACGCTTCCAAAGGGGATATCATTAAATGGAACACTGTATTAATGGGAAATTTCTTTAACAAAAACAGTAATTCTGAACTGTTCTTCAGTGGCACCAACAGAACAGCTGCACAGAGTTTTTCACTGCCAGATGTGTGTACTCTGACATACAACCCCACAAGACCACAAATCTTCACAATCCCCAGCAGACATAAACCATAAAAACACATATCTATGGTATTTCTTCAGAACTAAAAGAAATAAAACTTCCACAGAAAGTATCCTTGGAAAACACTATCTATGACACCTCTTTAACTTCTAAATATAAACACGTTTTTAAAAACATACCAACTACTTAAATGCTGAATAAGAAAGCATATGGTGTTTGAAAGCTGAAACTAACCAAAAATGTATTGACTGGAATTACTTCATGTGCAGGACAGCTTTTAATAAAAATAGCCACGGAGAAACTATCATGAAAAGAATTAAAATAGAAATAGTACACAACTTAATTTTTCTTGAGATTTTTTGTTATCCAGTACACTGATTTTTTAAGTTTAAGATCATGAAATTCTTTACAGATGAAATTGTATTAGAGTAAATGAATCCAAACAAGAGCAACGCTAGAAAAAACAAACAAGATTTACTAGTTTTAAATTCATTTGCCAAAAAGAATCTTTAGACAGAACAGTGATTAACTACAGCTCTTTAGTTTCAAATAAATGCACAAACACCAAAGTCACTAGATTCAAAGCAGGAATTAATAGGTAAAATGCTATAAGTCACACTGTACAGAAGGACAAATCAGACTCAGAATTGTCAACTTCCACTATAAAAACAATTCTTTAAAAGGTATTTCTAAGCATTGTATTTGAAACTTATGTGACACAAAAGAAAGAAAGCGTGAACTTAAAATACAAGAAGAAAGAAGAATTTGACAGTTGAAGTTAACAGTGCCATAGAGAAATGAGATTATTATTTCTGCCTGTTTTAAGACCTGAGTGTTCATGGGAAAGTAATTCAGACTTTTCATGGTTGGTCACTAGTTACAGCATCCTCAGTTATTAAACAATATTCTATTTTTTAATAGAATCAGCTTCTGGCCTTCTCTAACTGCTGAGCATTTAGAAGAGTCAACAGTAATTGTGCTTTGAACATTAAATTCTTAAAAAAAAAAGGAAGAGTTGGATATCTGTACATTCCTTCCCCTATTATTTCCTGGGGATCAGAGAATTTTTGGAGGTCAGGGACGGCGAGAGGGAACAAAAGCAACAAATTCAAGCTGATTAGGAATATCCTGGTTAAGTGATTTTTGCTTTGTAAAACAACAATGCGGTGCAAAATTATACATTTTAAGGCTTGCTTTTCTCCTCTCCTTCAACATAAAACTTCTTCAGATTAAGGTTTCTTGGGCACAGGGTAGAATAGCTGATCAACTAGAGAGGCAGTCCCATATCCAAATACAAAAAGTTAAAGTATTTGTTGGAAATATAAGAAGTCAACTGTCCATCTTCCAGGCTAAATTACTATTATTTAGCATCTTGAAAGTACTCACACATCACAGTAACAAGTAGCACAGAAAAACTCATGAGGAAATCAGTGATTCTACATTGAGTTCAGAATTTGGATACTGTAGTAAATTAAGGCACAAGTCCATAAATCAAAAAATAACACAAAAAAATTATTTGACACTGCCTTTAGTGAATATTGCATGTTCTGTATGCTGAAGGAAGCATAAAGCCTGAAGAAAAAAAGCACATGATCATCTAATGTTTGCATACTAATTCTACCCAATTTAACCCTTGCTACACAAAAGCCACTTGCGTTGCAGAAGCATCTATGCTGTAGATCGGTGCTTTCCAAAAATAAAAATGTGAAACAGGAAATAAAAAGCTGAGAATACACAGCAGGTTGGGAAAAGAACTACAATGGGCAGAGATATTCAGTTGCTGACTATTTATGTTCTTGTCCTGATATATACAAGCTACACGTACTTTTCTCCTTAGCAATTAACTGCAGACCACCTTTAAAGTAAAACATTGTATTCAACTATAAATTAAATTATTTAATCTTTACAGTAAATTAAAACTACATGTCTACACTAAAAATACCCTAAACAGGAAATTAGCTAAATTCTCAGAACTGTAAATCTCTTTTGTGAGAGACTAATTGATATAGAATCTAGCAGTTCTATAAAACTATCTGCACTATGCAACAAGTTTTTCATAAATTTAAAGTAGCACAATAATCTCAGATGGCAACTAATGAGCACATTAATCAACAGTTCATATTAAACATTTTCATCATTTAAAAGTCATTTAGCATGCTTAACCACATCTTACTGAAAACCACCATTTACATAACCTTTGAGTCTGAGAGACTCAAAGAGCTACTGAAGACTGACCTAAAAATACAAAGCAAACCTAGAAAATATTTATATGGAACATATCCTGACATAGCCATACTGGCTGTAAGAGCTACCAAATACACATATAATTCTGCACAGTTTTGAAACAAACCTGTAAAATGCACCTGAGTGCATTTTAAAGAACACAAGCAGACAGAAAACAGACTTTAAATGTTTCTTAATGCAATTACCTGTAGGCTTGTCCCAGACTTTTATACGCATCTATGAAGTCTGCTTTCTGCTTCAGAGCTTCTTTGAACGATTCGATGGCTTCCTACAGAAAGACACCAACAGAAAAACTTGTCACTTACTGCGTTCACTTAATTTTAGCATCCTCAGTAGTTACTAGTCATGGGTTCACAATTATTTGTCAAAACCTTTGAAATGAACAAACAAGGCACTAATTTATTACAAAATCTACAGAGTACTAATCATCATGTAACAACTGAAATATTGCAACATTCTTTATGGTAACAACAGATTTAGTTGGAATTCCTCTGTCTAATATGCTATTGGAATGAGTGATTCTTTTAGCATTTTAAAAGAATTCAGAGATTAAATCCCTTAAGAGTTTGCTTTCAAAGCTCAGTCTGGTCCCTAAGGCAAATCAGTGTCTCCTTACAATCTTTCTTCTTCATTCATAATACACCTCTTAATTTTTGCAGTCCAAAAAGACACTTTCAAATTTGTACTCTGCCTTTCACTGTTTTATTGCGTTCTGCGTTAGTTGCATAGTTAGCAAACACTCTCTAGAGGGATTACAGAGTAAGTGATTATCTTCACACAACAGCATGTACTGCTGCTGTGGGGAACACAATGTAATAAAAATAAAACAGTTAAAAATAATTATACACATACATTCAAACAAATCTTCTCCTTCAAATGATTTGATTAAGAACTCAGGTTTTTAAACTGGACTGGCTACATAAATTGTCAAATGCAGTAGTGAGACTTAGAATTAAGGATGGAATAATCAACTACTATATATTATGAAGGAGTGTCTGAAAAGTACCTTGAAGTCTATAGTGCAAGAAATTAAATGCTGTAAGGAAAGAATCATTAGTTTTTCTGAATAAGAATCTTTAAATTGACTAAAGATGCTATCAAGTATATTCCAAGCACCACAACATGCACAAAAATATCTACTGAACAACTGATACGCTCACGTCCTCTAGATAAGTTTTAACTCCAAGAAGATTATTCCCAAAAGCAATGATCCAAAAGCAACAATCTCTTTTCACTTCCCGCCTCACCCCAAATGTCAGTGTTCAGCAAGCCTAGTAAAACTTAAAGGAAGGCTATACATGCCATCTGTTAAGAGGCAGTCTGAACCTGACTGGAAACTAAGGTATCCCTGGGGATGAAAAGCCACTCAGTCACAGTCTCTCAGAACTTGACTATTTGAGAAAAGAAATTAGGGGGAAGGAGATGGTGGTGCAGAAATGTGTTGATCTGCATACTGGGAAGAAGAAAGCATTGCTTCTATTTTGCAAATAGAGACATTATTTATCCTTGTCAGTTATATTTCGAATATCACTTTCTGGGGTCTCTGCTGCCCACACCAAAAATCAGAAATTCCAGTGGACTATTATTTGCAATAAGCTACTGACAGCAAGTTCAATGACAGCCTGAAGTTCTCACAGCATACACTGACAGTGTGGAAAAAAACCCACCAGCTTGGGTACTAAGAAAATGGAAGAGAAGCCTGTTTACTGAAAAAAAAGAAGGAAAAAAAAAAACCACACCAACAAAAAACCCCCACAAAAACGCGGTGATTGCCTATGAAAGATACTGCGCTGAAACTCAGGAGTCCTGAGTTGTCTCCAGGTTCTGTCAAGATTTCTTCATATGGCCCTTAATGAATCCCAAGCTGTTACTAGAGGTAAAAAAAAATAAGCTTCCAGTCTGTTGGAATTTAGGAATCACACAGTTGCATCCTCACTTTTCAAACTGAGGATTTCAGACAACTTGACTAATTACTCTCCTCCCACAAAAACTGCAGCAGCATCTCTGAATGCTTTACAAGCAAGAAACAGGTGCAATATTACTACAACTAAAGCATAAAGAAGTTTTGAGTCAGAAAATGGTGAAACATTAAAAAAAAGCATGGGAAGAACTCACTTCCCTGCTGATTTTATCATCAGATAGAGCAACTATGTTCCCTCAATTTAGATACAAGCATTTCAGAATCAGCATATAACTGAAATGTACATGCACAGCTGCAGAGATCTCTATCAGCAGTTTCCATGATTACCTTCTAGCTCATTGGAAGAAGAATTTAAAATTAATTTCCTCTTCATCCCTTTCACCTTCACAAAATGTAGGGATTCTCCATTGCATGGAAAGACATTTTGAATAAAACCATACAGACATTAGCAGAGGTGTCAAATACAAACATCTTTCAAAACACTCCATTTACCACTCATTTACCAAGATCCAGCAGTATTACATGTCATACCATGAAGTATTACAGTCCGTAATGGGACCTTTTCATTTTGCTTGCACTCTTCTGCCTTAAAAAGTCTTCCTTATGTGAAAGAAAATATGTATATCAACACCTATGATATTTTTACTGTTTTATAGAAGTAACTTCAAATAAAGGGTACTGTTCTACATGAACTATTATTTAACATAACTTTACCTTCAGAAGTCCTCTGTGAAAAAAGGTTAAGCCTTTATAAAGCATAGCTATAGGCTGATTTTTGTTCAGTTCCAGTGAGTGCTGAAAATCTTCATGGGCTGTTGCATAATCCTGCAATAAAGTAGATTTTAGATGACAGAGGAAACGCCATACAAATGAAAAGGAATACATGCTTTTATTTTCATAAAAGCAAACAACAGAATTTTCTTTAATATATGAAGTCAATCTCAGGGCTAAGCAGCAACGATTGTCAACTGCTAGTCAGAATATCAAAGAACAAGGAATGCACAATACACTTCCAACTTTTAGAGCAAGTGCTATATAGAACATTGTAAAATAAGTGGAAAAATAGCTGGAAACAGAGTGAAATCAGAAGAATAAAGTGTGAAATCAGCTACTTAGCATTCACACAATCTTTGAAGGTAAAGTTACTTGTTTTACATTAAAGTGTAAGAACAACACACACACATTACACAGAAAAATAGGATGTTAGTATTTTTGTAGGGTTTTGTTTGTTTGTTTCTTGTGTGGTGTGCTTTTTAAGTATATAGGGCAGTTACTGCCTTGGCCATAACTGTTTTCCTTTTTAGACTGGCATTTAACAATATTACTTAAATGCAGCTGTAGGTTATAAATCAAGTCAAACTCTTTATCCATATCCTACTCCTCAAACACACAAAACAATAATCTGAGATGTCCATGCATTAAATAGATATGCAGATGACATACTTCAAGACTACTTCTAAACTGTCAGAAAGTCAACTACAGGAAAATCAGGGCTTTTGTTGTAATTTTGGTTTTTTAACTTAAATAAGAAAGAAGCTCTTGAACAGAAGTTAAGAACTGGCACAAACAACAAAATAATCAACAACATCCACACAAACAAAACCAAACAGAATGCCCAAAATCCACTAACCTCAGATATGAAGTAAAGGGTACCTCTGTGCCTGTAGAGCCGTGCTGATGGTTGTAGCTGAATAGCTTTGGTGAGATCAGATAATGCTTCACTGATTCGTCCTAGTGGGGACAGTATCTGAGTGTATAAAACAAAAACATAGTTTAGAGCAAACAGGCTGAATAGATTTGTTTTAGTAAGATTAAGATTATTCTTTTTCATGTTCAGCTGCAACAGAGTAACTGTATTTGCTAGAACAGGCTGGAAAGTTCTACTGTAAATTTCAGTTCTTATTGCTTTAAAAACCCTATCAAAGGGAAAATCTGGAAGTATTCTTTCCCCCAAAAATATGACATGCACAAACATCACCATCAGCCAAAGCAAAACACTCTATTTCAAGTTATTTCAACACATTCAACTGAAAATATAATTAAAGTATTCTTATAAACCTTTTTATTTTGACAAAGTATTTCCTCAAACGGAAAATGGTCTATTTTCCAATTATTTGAATGTCTTTCACATTTTTAGATCACTATTATTAATAAACATGTTATCACTAAAAATATGAAAATTGTGAATTAATTTCATATTATGGCAGTTATTATACAGTATGCTGACTTTAATAAACACTTATGATTTCGATTTGTCTACAAAGCTGCTTCTTGAAATCCATTTTCTGTAATTTAATTGACAAAACAAAACATGATCTTCAAAATTAAAACCATCTGTGTACCTGAATCATATTTAACTTGTATGCATGAATATGAAATTAAAACATTTGATTAAAAACTCATTCTTTAAAAGTTTGGCATTTTACCAACTAGTCCTAACAACAAATTTACTAAGGTGACACTAAGTGCAAACAGTAAGGTTCAAGTGATATTTTGATGTTAAAAAAACAAAACACATGATCTTGCTATATAGTATTCAAAAACTAAACACTTAGACATAATATATGCTATTCTATATGCTATAGTAACTCCATATGGTGTAAGTTTCATTTTAAAAATAAATATTCCACAAATTACACTGTTTGAGAGCAAATATGTATATTTTAAAAGAAAGGAGGAATGTTCACAGAAAAACACAGATAAGAGCTTTAGTCATTAAATCAGTGAAGAAATACTTGAAAACACTTGAAAGCAACTACTCCAAAAATCTGAAAAGAGACAAAAAATGCTCACTTCTGCTCGCTGTTCAAATACTTCAGGATGATCTGGTTCTAGACTAATCACCCTACTGAGCTCAAACAGAGCAAGTTCAGCATTTTTCATATCCTGAAAAGGAGAAAAATAAACAAGGTAAACAGCTGTGCATACTTAGAGTAATATACTCTGAAGACTGAAGGACAATTAGATTGGCTAAGTTTCTGAAAGTTTATCAGATTACATGAAAAGCCATTCACACCTCTGCTAATAGCATTAAGATGCAGTATTCTACAAAGAGCTGCGGGGAAAAAAACCCACCACCTATCTGCTATAAACAAGAAAAATAAACTTTGCTCGTATGTATCATCTTTGTGCCGTACCTCCAATAATTTATTAATATAACTCCGTGAATAAACATTAGGTTTACGGTTCCATAGGTACCTTTCTTGACAGCAAAGCTGGCTCAAGCTCTCGCATGAACGATACACACGCATATTCTCACCCACCAGTGTTTTCACCAGTACTGTCAGTAACTTAATCCAAGTAGTACTGGTGAATGGATTGATGCCATTAACATCTCACCTATCTAAATTCTTAACAGTCCTCAATAAATTGTAGGATGGAAGCAGTTACTTAATTGGGGGAAAAAAAAAATCCAAACTGGTCATATAGCAAGTTCTGTATTAGATTTCATTGATCTTTTCCTTCTTCTTCAAGGCAAAGAAATTTTGCATGTGCTTAACATCACCTTTGTGTCTCGAAAGTGTCGCTCACAGAAACTTTTACGAAGTGAAGCTGTCCGACATCTAGCCGAACTGAGAAAACAAACTCATGCTGGTGTTAAAAACATGCAAATATGAGGGACTTCAAGCTCCTGTCAGCACGACTAAAGAATTAAATATTCTGCACAAAGGAAATTTTCAAGGAGTTATTCAACTAGTCTGTCTTCTAGAATTCCAGCAACCATTCAGTCATGATTCAACAGGCCACAAACTCAAACTACAAGGACCATAGTCTACTTTTAAAGTTATTTTTTCTCAGGAAAATGTTTGAGTAGTCAGTTGTAACTGTAATTTTTTTTAACAAATTCAAGGTGGTATACATATCAAGCGCACAGCCAATCAAGAAGCAATATAAAGCCTAGTGGACTGCAAGAGCTGATGATGTTTCCAAGTTGCAATAAAAAGAATTTTTCGTTTCCAAATACAGACTAGATGTGGAGATAAATCCAGTGGGATTTCATAAACCTGCCTCTTGGAGGCAGGATACTGCCTGTTATCTTCTTAACTCTTTCACGTGGCTGTGGCCACCTACCAAGCGATGGACACATCATTACATCAGGACAGCACAAAGACTTTGGGATGTATCTATCAAGTTCTAATCAGTCTAGCTCCTCCTGTTCCGGGCTTTCTTATAGCTTGGATTCAAGTAGTTCAGTCAGATATTAATTTAAATAATTAGTTACTCACATGTAGTCCTTTTTTTCCATATGCTATCCCTCGTCCATAAATTGCACTAACCAGCTCTGGTTCTTCCTGTTAAAATTAAAAATGAATACAATAATCAGTTATCGGTTGTTGGGTTTTTTTTAAAAGGTATCTTTCTTCAATATGTATTTAATTCTTGCTGATCTTAAGTAGTAAGCAATGAACAATCATAGTTGTCAGGCAAAGAAACTGATTGTATTATAGTCCATACTTTCATATGCTCACAACTTCCAATTCAATTTACTGGAATTGTTCTGGAGTATTTGTCTGGAAAATGAGCTAAACAGAGTGCAGTTACAGTGTCAGTGACCACCTATCAGAAGCTATGTACACATTAGGACAGTCTGTTGTCCAAACTTCATTACTTGCAGCCTTACTGGTAATTATATGACTCCTTTTGTCTAATGTCACTGAAGTGATAATAAACAAACACAATTCATCCATTCAAAGCTTATTTTGATCGTAATTTAAATTTGAGATTTAAAATTAGGAATCAGGAAATTACAACATCCTGATGAAATTTGTATTCAGGCAGCAATTAAAACTAGAGGTCTTCTGCCAAAATAGTTCTGCAAAATTCCAACAAATCTTCCTTGGGTTAGATTTAAGTCCATGGCTTTCCAACTCAGGCACTTAAGGGGATGTTATCTTACATAGTGAATCTACTTCTTGTTCAGTGTTATTTACTCCAGCCATGGTTTCTCATCCAAATTTTAAGAACTACAACAGCAAAACCGTTTTTCTTGGCACAACAATGCCTATGCAGTCAGTTTCCCTGAAAACCAGTCAGGAATCACATCATCTTCACACCTGCAACCAACACAGCTGTGCCACGAAAGTTTGTAGCATAGGTCTGGTCTTATTTAGCAGGGACAACTGCCAAGGAACAAATTCTTTCATTGACAAAACAATAGAGATGTGGCACATCAATGCTGGCAGCTTGCCAGGCTTGAGCCAATTCCAAGTGTACACTTGCCAATGTCAACTTCAGGTAACTTCCCTACTTTTAATACAGCAGCTAAGCAAGGCTGGTTTGTTCTGTTAGATGTTTTAATACTCACTTTATACGTATTTAAAACTGCCTTATGGATGACAGAGTGAACAATCATAACCGCTTCATAGCCTTTCAGGCATACAATAAGTGGGATATTCATTTCAACTGAGATGTGCGCATTGCAGAGGTACTCTAGTATATACACACTTTCTTTCTACAGTCACTGTATCTTGCTTATCTATGCTTATACTAAGTTTCCTTCTTCATAAAGAGAAGGCAGGAAACATTATATAAGTCCAGTAGGTTTTGAAGCAGGACTTCTTATTAGGGGGAAGAAAAAAAAAATTCCCGACGTTAAAAACAAAATCAAAGACAGAGATCACTAAACACCTAAAACAAATTAAAAAAACCAATAAAAAGCATTCTGGTCCTCTGATAAATTCCCTGGAATAATTCCATTAAATTGCCACACTTTCACTCAATTTAAGTAAGAGTCATATTACATTTGAGTTAAAAAAAAAAAAGCATGCTAGTATTTGCAGTATTACTTTCAGTTTGCATTTGTGTACTGCAACCAGTTTAGATCAAAAAGCAGGCCCATGCTTCTGGTAGTCCCAGGTTCTTTAGACATAAAAATACAGTATTTTGAAGTCAGCTTTAGTTGGAGCTTTTAAACTGTTGGGGTTGGTTTTGTTTTAAAAGTAGCTATCTTCTGCTTCATAGAAGAAGATTCTGAATCCTTTACCTTGGTCAGAAAATAAACAGTATGTTGAAATATTGGTTAGGTTTTACTTATGTATTAAACTCATCAGATGCTTGCCACTGAAGAAGGATAAATCCAGCATACAAACCCACGTACCATTGTGAAAGCAATGCGGTACTTGTCACTAGCAATAAGTGATCTCTGTCAGGTTTTCTTCTGATGTTACTGGCAACATGCTAACTGTCACCCAAAAAATCCACATTAAAACATCTCAGCCTACACATTAAGAGAGCAATTAAAGGAACTTCAATTTTGCACAGGTCAGGTTTCTGAAGATGCTCTTTTTTTTTTGCCAAAGTGCCATAAAAAGTTTATTCCTACAGATGAGAAAAATACTCACCAAATAACCAAGATACTGAATCACTTGATTTTAAGAGTATGCTTACATTTGAATGGAAAAAAATGAGCAAATAATAGAATAATTACTCTCATAGAATAATTACTCTCATTTTAATATCCTTAATGGAATCTTTGTTTTAGTAAAAGCCATATGTTGCAATGGACAATTTCATAAAGTGATTTTTTAGGAGTGGAAACATAACACTTACCTGCAGCATTGTTGAAAAATGTCGTATGGCTTCATCATACAAGCCGTTGCCAATCAACACATAAGCAATTGCTAAGAAAACATTACAAATGTAAATAAGACAGAAAAAAAAACTCGTGTTTTTTTAAAATATTTTACGGTTTGGTTGTATTTAATGTAAGTTCCTACAATGCACTGAAGATTTAAGCAGTCAAATGATTTTTCCCCGCCCCGCCACTAAAATTACTTCCCTCAACCATTACCTAGCATTTGTTAATTATTCAATTCATGCTGCGTTCATCAGAACTGGTTTGGGATTTTGTGATTTGTTTGGAGTTTTTTTCTCACATTTTTACAGGTTGTTCAGGAAGGGGTCTATGTTTCCTTCTAAAGTACTTGGGACCAGGAAAGGTACCATGATCCCATTTAGTAGCCCTATATGATTTCTCAATTATAAGTGTGCCTGGCTAACACTGGCTAACTTTTTTTGGTAATTCCATTAGAGAACACCTGATTGCACTTGTTTGTACACATTTTGCTAAACTTTACTAGCTCACAGTAAGTTTTTCCTTCATTTGAATTATCTAGAAAAACCTCAACTAAAGTGATTCCATTATTTATAAAAATGAGATTGAAAAACTACAGAATCTTTACCCATGTTACACTTATGAAAAGCTTTAAAGTTGTTGCATATCCCCCCTGCTTTGGAGTAGAAGGCAAGTTTTTGAAAAAGAAACAGACCACTGTTTTAGAAACATGTTCCTGTAATCTCCACAAGATACAAAAATACAAGACTGGAAAGCTGTGGTTGTGCTTGCATGACTGAAGTTCTGTTCTGACAGCTGAATATCTCAAGATTGTTTCATTTCGCATGTTTTAATCTCTTAGAGTTCTTAACTCTGGACTAAGCTGGTTTTTGTGGGCAGCGCAGACAAAGTATCTTGTAGACCAGAGCTACGAAAGTTAAAGTACAACTTTTCCCCAGGCAGTTCACACAGACAGCTGACAGGGGAACTAAGAGCAGGAATTCACCTTTCCCCATACTTCTAATGAGTTTTAGCAGTCATCCAAACAGAATGGAAGAGGCATCTATCAGCTTAATTATTTACCCAAACATGAGAACAGACAAATAAGCCAGAACAATTTTTAATATGACACAGACACTTATCTTTCATGCAGTCAGAGCCACATTGTTTTGGCAGTGTCACTAAGTACTATTCATTAAAGGAGGAAAAAAGTTAAATGAAATCTAATCCAGAGCTTGTCTCATTCTTGGAGCATTTCTATTATGTAGAAAGAAGTATTTGTGTGCAATATAAGCTTTTTCCTCAATAAGCTTCACTTGGTACAGATACATAGCACTGCCAAAAAAGGAAAGAAAATTGGCAGAGTGAAGGACAGGTTGAAGAGCTCTTGAATTTTCCTCATTTCATTCTCCTCCAAACTACACAGTTCTTCGTATCATCGTTATGGTTCCAATCCCAGAACACAGAACAGTTGGCACGTAAAATAAAATCAACTCAACCGTGTCAGTATTAAGGAAAGAAGTGGAGGAAGCAAGATACTGAAGACTCATTGTCTTGCTGATAATGAGTTTGTTTATCCAAGACTCTTGGCAAAACACAGGCGGTCACAGACTATGTCCGTAAAACTATGGCAAGTGATTGGCAGCTAGTAGCTCATACAGCATCAGCTTCATTTTAAATTTTATCTCTTCGATTAATTGTTTCATCTTTAACTAAATACTACAAAAATACAAGTAAGTACTTTATTATGAAAAATCTAGGGTTAACAATGGTCCATTAGCCCAAGTATCTGGGTACCAACATTGCTTCAGAATGTCCCATACATTTCACACTACTTTTCCTCAGAACAGGCAAAAGTAAGAAGCACAAACAAACAGGACCCAGGCTCCTCACACCATGACATACTTGAAAAAGTGAGTAGATAGGTGCCAGTCTACAGGCCAAACATGAGGACAGAGACCTTCTGGCATAGTCTTCCAAGTCTACAGAGCAGATACTAAAAGCATCAAATATTTTCTGCTGGATGGAAGTTCGGTATTCCCTGTAGGATTCTATGAACGTAGTTAGGTATGCTAGGAATATGAAAAAAAGATTAAGCCCCCAAATTTTCCAGGATAAATCCGAAGGCAGAAATTATGTGAACAAAAAAACTACTCAGTTGTTTTAATTTTGTTAGACAATTTATGAGTCAAGTCTCACTTTGCTCTTGTATAAAACACAGTCTGCTGCCTTCCTTGACATACATCCTCAACTATCTCTTTGCTGCCTCATAATACCTCTGCTTCCTACAGAGGATACCAGTTTGGAGAAGCAGTGCAAGTAACTCCTTGAATACTTTGAGAAAAGTATTTCCTGTTGCTTTATTTGAAATGCCTCCATTTTCTGTGCTGAGTATGCTTTGAAAAAACATCAAGTGGCAGCCTGTATCACGACTTAATTCAGAAAAAGCCTTCCTGCTGCCTATAAGGGTTGATGAGAAGAGTGAGTGGAAAGGGGAAGACAGATCCGACATCTATGCTTGATAGAAAGCATATTCCATTGGTAAAATTTTCTGGATGTTTGAATAGTTTTACTCGTCAATAATGACAGAAAAAGGGAAGCAGGAAGTAGCTGAGACTGTTTAACAAGATTTAACCAAAATGCTTTTTGAATACCTGCTTAAGCAGACATGATGAAGAATTCCAGTGAGCAAAGCAGAAAAGATTTTTAGGAAGAGAGATACATATTTTCTTTGTATGACCAGAGAAAACTCACTGTATTTTCAGGCTTATTAGGATCACTTTAAAATCAATGCATCACTAAGGAATCATCAGTTTAGTTTCAAAACATTCAGTGCTAATAATTAGCACGTAATTCACCTGCACAAACCTTATATAAGGCATCTTACCCAATTCTTCATTTGTGTTGTCATTATCAGTAGCAAATGGAAATCGTTTTTGCTCTGCAAGCAACTTCGCTTGACTCTGTAAAACATCATGTTTTTTAAGTGTTCAGCAAACAACAGTAAAGAATTTAATAGAAAACCTGTGTCTTAAGTCCTTAAGAGAATGCCTTAAATCAAAAAGTTAAGACTACTGTGATTGCTTTAAGGTAACTGAAAACAAATTCATTCCCAGTCTTCCACAGGGAGAAAAACTGCTCTTCAGTCAGGTGCTGCTGTTATCCTCTCTAACATAAAGCTAACAAAACCTTTCAGATGGAAGGACATTGTTAGCATTTTACCAGTGGCTGATGTTTCTGTATCATATCTGCTTAACATGAAGTTTTGGAAGTCTAAGACACATGCTACTTCATATGAAATTTTATACTCTTTACCTCATTAATTATTACTTGGTCTCCTGCAAAGGGAAGGGTACTATAGAAAAGTAAAACACTGAAAAGTCTTTATTGCTGCAGCAATATTCAAGTTTAACTTAACAGTGCCATACTAAAGTAAAAAGGCTGTCCTTTTAACAATGACCTTCTATCAGTTATAGACTGTAGCTTCATCTAAGGTTTCTGTTCCCCAAATAATGTGCCTACAGAAACCAATACTGCCAAAGACAACCCCTCAGAAATACAGAAATACTCTACTCTGTTCATTTTCACAAGTCCTTTCCATAGCAGCTGTAAGCCTACCAGAGCAGTTTACATTAGAAAAATACAAAATGCTCATTTAATTAACAGGCCTTCCAAACTGTTTTAGGAAGCAAGAAGGGGAAAAAATAACTTCTCTCACTGCTCAGTTCTCCTCTTTTGCTTCAGCTAAACAGCACAGATGTAGATCTTTAACTTCAGAGAAGACAGTTAAACACCTTAAACCTCAGAGAACATATTTAATTCACCATTTCCTCTACTGAGAAGAACTGCACTTTGTCCAGCTCCCTTCCACTTTTTTTGCTTGTTCAATCAAAAATAGCCTCATTACTCGTGTCCATGATACAGGCATTTCAATGATCTACAAAGTGCAAAAGTAACTGGTCAAATCTCATGGCACCGTTTCATCTGATAATCTTAGGAATGAGAAGAAAGCTTGGCCTGCTCTAAGAACTTGAATATTTTGGAGGGTATGAACAATTAGCAAATTGGATTTTACAAACTTTGCTTTTACTGCAATTGGAGATCATGTATGAGCTTTACATTACACTATAATGTTCTGAGAATTATTACTCCACCTACTGCTGCACCTACAGTAACAGAATGGAAAAGTTATTTTCCTTATAGAAAAAAAAAATCATTACAAATAGCACAAGAATAAGCAGAGTTCAACAGGTACACCAATGAGAAAACTAAATCTACATTGCAGACCATATATATAGATACATATATACACAAATCACACACCTCCAAACATAACCTTTTTATATCATTAGTGGCCTTCAGGTAATTTCCAGAAAATCTGCTTCAGTAAGTGATCTTCATTATTAACCCTGCAAAACATTATTCTTTTATAATTGTCTTAATGTTAGGGAAAAAAAAAATTTTACTAAAGTACAACCTCTTCCTTGGTGGATTTACAAAAAAGGCCTACACTTCTTTGTCTGTGGACAAAAGGTAAGATATAACAAGATTCCACACTGGGTATTGGAAAATAAGCTAAAACCAAAACAATCTGGTATTACATTAATATCCTATAAGGCCTACACTTCTTTGTCTGTGGACAAAAAATAAGATATAACAAGATTCCACACTGGGTACTGGAAAATAAGCTAAAACCAAAAGAATCTGGCATTACATTAATATCCTATGAATTACAGAGCTGCATGTGACACTCAGCAAGAAAAGTACCACACAGCTGCCACCCTCACCTACCTCATCTGTTTTGTTTTCAGAATATAGAATATATCAGAATATATAGAATAACAGACTAGTGTTTGGTTCTTCAGGTGGCAGAGGAAGGGGATTCATACTTCAACAAATTCTGCATCCAATTACAGGTTACACATCCTGAAGCTCTACATGCAAAAACTGCAAGTCTTCCTGCCTTCAAGAAATGAGAAGCATTTTCATCACAGCACCAGTTCCTGATAGGTTGAATTGTCACTCTCTTCAAAACAGTATTTTTGAAACAGGGAAATTTCTTACAAACCAATACACATTTCACTGCCTTAGAAAGAATTGCTGGTACTGCTAGCCTAGACTAGACAGAAGATATCTGATGAAGTACTGAAGTACTGTCTAAGGAGAATATTCAAGTTAAATAATTGGCTTGGTGGATTTGCAGTAGAGTGTTTTTATTTCCAAATGCCACCTTTGGAGAAGTTGCTTCAAATCAGAATATTGTTTTCACGCTCCTTCATAGTATATCCACATGGGAATTATTTGAAGATTTTCGATATCTGAGACTCTATTGGAGTGAAGAAGTAACATCAAACCTGTGTTCTGATATAGATTGAGTATTGTATCTGTTGACGGTCTATAGGTTAACAGCAGTGTTGCAAGAAAACCCAAATTCCAAAA